TCATGTGACCTATGGTGTCGAAGTAATAGCTGATAAAAAATTCCACGCCTATGGGATGTGCCACGCCCCCTATTACAAACTCATTTATATATATCTTTTTATAAGCGCCTACCATACCTGCATACCAAATTTCAATCTCGTGGGGCTTATGGTTCCGAAGTTATAGCTGATGAAAATTCCCACGCCCATGGGATATGCAACGCCCCCTTTTAAAGACTCATTTATTTACAGCTTATTATAAGCACCTACCATAGCTATGCCTGCATACCAAATTTAAAGTTCATGTGGCTTATGATTTCGAATTTATAGCTGATAAAAAATGTCACGCCTATGTGATGTGCCACGCCCCCTTTTACAAACTCATTTACATATAGCTTACTATAAGCTACCATAGATATCTCTGCATACCAAATTTCAAGTTCATGTGACTTATGGTGTCGAAGGTATAGCTGATAAAAACTTCCACGCATACGGGATGTGCCACGCCCCCTTTTATAAACTGACTCATATACACCTCACTATAAGCACCTACCGTAGCTGTTCCCGCATACTAATTTTCAATCTCGTGAGGCTTATGGTTACGAAGTTATAGCTGATAAAAAATTCCACGCCTATGGGATGTGCTACGCCCTCTTTTACAAACTCATTCATATACACCTTACTATAAGCACCTACCGTAGCTGTGCCTGCATACCAAATTTCAATCTCGTGGGGTTTATGGTTCCGAAGTTGGAGCTGATAAAATATTCCACGCCTATAGGATGTGCCACGCCCCCTTTTACAAACTCATTCATATACACCTTGCTATAAGCACCTACCAAAGGTGTGCCTGCATACCAAATTTCAATATCGTGGGGTTTATGGTTCCAAAGTTGGAGCTGATAAAATATTCCACGCCTATGGGATGTACCACGCCCCCTTTTACAAACTCATTTATATATACCTTACTATAAGCACCTACCGCAGCTGTGCCTGCATACAAAATTTCAAGCTCAGCTACCATAGATATGTCTGCATAACAAATTTCACGTTCATGTGACTTATGGTGTCGAAGTTATAGCTGATAAAAAATTCCACGCCTACGGGATGTGCCACCTTTTACAACTCATTCATATACACCTACCGTAGCTGTGCCTGCATACCAAATTTCAAGTTCATATGACTTATGGTTCCGAAGTTATGGCTGATAAAAAATTCCACGCGTATGGGATGTGCCACGCCCCCTTTTACAAACTCGTTTATATATTCCCTCCTATAAGCACCTACCATTAAAATGTCTGCATACCAAATTTCAAGTTCGTGTGACTTATGGTTCCGAAGTTATAGTTGCTCAAAAATTCAACGCCTATGGGATGTGCCACGCCCTCTTTTACAACCACGTTTATATATTCCCTCCTATAAGCACCTACCATCAAAATGTGTGCATACCAAATTTCAACTTCGTGTGACTTAAGGTTCCGAAGTTATAGCTGATGTGCCACGAACCCCTTTTACAAACTCAGTTATATATACCCTCCTATAAGCAGCTACC